CCCCCCCGACAGTCAGCAGCTTTCAAAGCCAGGCCTCCGTTCCTCAGCTTTAACTTTTAGGAGTTTATGGGCTATTCTCTCTATATATCATCCATTAGGGATGAAACGGTTACCAGCTTCATGGTAAACCATGAGTAAAATCCCCAGCGGTGAGTATTACTGTTTCAAAATGTCATCATCATTAAGTCTGTGGTTGATTACCGTGCTTTGAAAAACGTTAAATACTGTCCAGCATCAACCAGTGACCAAGTTAGTGACAGTTTCCCCGACACAGCCGCAGCGAGCAACACGGCTTTGTTTAGTGTTGGTAAAAACATGGAGATTTTAAATGTTAATGCACATCTGATACATTTTACATAAGCTGTTGGTTATTCTTTAAATGTTCATGCAAACATAAAGCGCACAGTGCTGGTAATTATATTTATGGTTTTCACTTTAAAACTTAGTGAAATAATTTCAGCTTTTGTATTAGTAATTTTGAACATTTTCAGCAGATTTGAACAATAGCATAATAATACTGATTCCCATGATAATTCTGGTCACTATAATCGTTGAATGTGATTCATGTAACTTAATATTAGAAAAAAAATGATTGGTGCAATAAAAAGCAAGTATAATTTGTGCAAATCACAGACGTAAACTGTCATCTCACATTGTTATATTAATTTTTCTATCCATCTATCTATCTATCTATCTATCTATCTATCTATCTATCTATCTATCTATCTATCTATCTATCTGTCTATCTATCTATCTATCTATCTATCTATCTATCTATCTATCCCAGCATTGCACAGCATTGAAGCAGCTTAGGTTGCCCAGGGACAAACTGTCTTTCAGTGGAGCAGGTCTTCCGATGGGGATCCACCACCCTGCTCTCGCAGAGTAAGAGCCTGAGATCGACCTGCAGCGCGATGTCGTGTCACCCAGGCTGACACTGAACAGCATCGCACTCACCACACTAACCACCCAGCGTGGAATTTACTACAGGCAAACAGCAATCAGACCCAGCTGATTAGCATGTCTGATTGGAGACACAAAGGACACCAAAGAGCCATAAAAATGCCTGTGATCACGTAGGAGGCCTTGTCTACCGGCAGATCAGCATACATGGCTGTTCGTGATTCGAAATTCAAGAGAAGCACAAGCATCTCAGAGCCACGCAGACAGGCCGCTGGTATTTCGACTCAGCCCAGCTCCCGGAGAAGGAGACAAAGATGCAGAACATGTTTTACCGGCAGCGCGGCGTAGTGACAGCAGGATGACCAGCAAAGCTGAGCCTCAGGAACCGCGAGGGACCAGGGCCAGTTAAGCCCGCGGTAACTTTAAATCTGCAAAGAGAAACAAAACCAGGAAATAAAAGCAGCTAAAAACACAGCCTGTCTCAGCATTACTGCAGCAGTCTCCTGAACTGAAAAGAGAATGAGTTTCTCAATTGAAAAAACAAAACAGTTTTTCTCGATTGCTTTGGCACATTTCAAGCAACATACTTAACATTCTCAAGACTATAAGGGCATTTCTCAAAACAGTTCATGCATATAGCACCATGGTTTAGCTGGAAAGTGCTGTAACACCCAAAACAATGATAGTTTTTTCCCAGTAGCTGTGGGTTAGTGGTTGTGTTTTTGTTTCCCACGGTACACGGTTTTGTTGTTCTTTTATTATCATTTTGCTGATTTGTGTTATACAGTGACATGTGACTTTATTTGCCACTGTGCTGTGTCCTGAGATCTGAAGAAGTTACGTGTGCCAGTGAAAGAGCTTTCGCTTGTCAGTGAACCTTATATAATGCCGTGTTAAAACTGGTGTGTTTGACATAAATAATTATTAGTTTGCTAATATGAAACCAGTGATCCGGCAGTGAGAATGAGAAAGTGGGAACTGACTGTCCTTCAGAATTGTGTAGAATGGAGCAGACTTACACCGACATACTGACAATATATCTAAATATTTTGACTCTCACAGAACTGAATATTGTGCCAAAAGATGACAATTGAACAAAACCATTCGCACATACAGCTCAGGAAAAAATTGACATTTTTAGTCAGGTTATGGGTAAGCTACTGCGTAAAATATACATTTTTTGTAAACTTCAACCTGACTCTTCTCTGCTTCTCATTAATGAAGGGCTTCTTCTTGCGTTATGGGACCTCAGTCCTGCTTCTAGCAGCCTGATACACATTGTCCCAGCAGTGCACTTCACACCTGCACTTAATGTTTCCCATTCCTTTTGAAGGTCACTTGATGTCATCCTCCGATTCATGAGAAACTGTTGGATAAGTTAACAGTCATCTCTGCCATGCAAATTCTTAAAAAGTACAGAGTGGTCTCTTAATATTTTCAAGAGCTGTATGTACAAATCATTTAGAATTTTGCGTGAAGCAATGAGAAATGACATTCTGCTGTGCAGAAGTGACATTGTAATGTGGGGATTATACTTGTTGTTTTTGCAAATGTAAATGCTTCAAAGCAATCGAGAAAAACTGTAATTGTTTTGTGTGAGTTATGATGCTTTGCAGCTGAACCATGGCGTTGTGCTTTCTGCATCAACCATTACGAGAAATGTTTTTATGGTTGTGAGAATGTTAATTGTGTCTCATGAATTGTGCCAAAGTTATTGAGAAAAACTGTAAAAAAAAATCAGCAAGCAGCCTCTTAACGCACTAGCTCCGTGCTGGCACACAAACAAACCTTCAGATGTACACAAATGTGCCGTGCAGGTCTGTGTGTGGTCCCCCTTCTAAATTTCATCCCCCGAAAATAAATGAGCTTTCGGCTGTGGTCTAGTAATAGTGGCAACATACTGGTTCCTGTAGTGTTTTCCCAGACAGCCAGGGCAATGTCTGGTACAGTCCCCAGTTCTCCATGGGTCCTGGTATTGGGATTCCTACTTTAAATTGAGGACCCACGCGATGAATTGCTGGTGGCTCATTCTTTTTTGCAGAGCAGTAAAGTTTAAAAGGGATCGTTTACACCAGAGGGCCTGTGTTTCCAAGTCGGACATTAAATCCTCTTTATTCAAATGAGCACACTTTGTCTGATACTCTGTTTAAGTACTGGGGTCATCTCTAACTTTATCTACCCGGGTATTTCTATAACTGCTATATCTAAAAACACTTCTTCACAAATAACTTCTTCTCCAAAACACAGTTCTGTCCAGGGGGGAGGCATACAGCTGTTAATGGTTAGTTTTTAAAGTATAATTATTGAAACAGTTATTGGAGGAATTCAGCTGTTGAGCAAAGGGCCAGCTTGTCTTCTGGTTTAATAACTGGACACCTTTTTTTTAGTTCTCACACAGTGGTTGCAGTTACATGTTGTGGATCAGGGGGGTTGGGACATGGAGGGGGGGAATGTAACAGCCAAGGTGACAGGAGACTGAGCCGCCTGAGAATGGCCAGAGTAGGTGGAATTGCCAGGATTGAGTGGGGTCACCTCTCACCCCCATCTCAGACACAGGTCATATTCCTGCCCCCTGTCGATCTACGCAGGGCACGTGCTCCCTGTCGCTCACTCTTCCCATAATTCCATCTCCTGGGAAAAACGACACTCTGTCTAACGTGGAAGCAGAGGCCACGCCTCTCTGAGGCAAACAGAAACATAGGTGGCTGTTTTCATTACTTGAACACACTGAGCGTGTGCGGAAACAGCTGCCCGCATGCCTGTCTCCCAGCCGAGACGCGGCGTGCCCTGTGGCTGTGGCTCTGCCAAAGCCCCCCCCCCTACACACCACCCACTGGAAAACCAGTGTCGTTCTTTCCCGCTGCTTGCCTGCATCGCCAGCTTTTCCATTCCCGCCAGCCACCGCTATGTGAGCCCTGAGAGCCAGGAGGGCAAATTATTATGTCAAAGGTTAGAGAGTGAGCCTGGAAACATGCTGCTGTGTGACTCCTGACAGACTCCCATCCGGGGGGGGGGGCTATTTGTTTTTCTTCAACTGCATCACATACGTACACTGCTGTTGTACCCAAGAGCGATACACTCAGCCAAAATGACCTCAAAGGAAACCTCCAGGCATGGAGACAGGTGCATTAAACTTTTCTTGGTCGTGGGGACCCAAAGCATACCCTGCTTCATCCTGCTTTACCCCAATCCTAACCCTGCTTCATCCTGCATTACCCCAATCCTAACCCTGCTTCATCCTGCTTTACCGCAATCCTAACCCTGCTTCATCCTGCATTACCCCAATCCTAACCCTGCTTCATCCTGCTTTACCGCAATCCTAACCCTGCTTCATCCTGCATTACCCCAATCCTAACCCTGCTTCATCCTGCTTTACCCCAATCCTAACCCTGCTTCACCATTTTAGCCATCCAAAACATGAGGCTTCATCATGCTATGTACCAGCTACTATATACCAGCCGTTGCCATTAGTTACATGCTAGAAAAAGACACAGTAACTTAAGCTGCTTCATTAAAAATAATCGAATGATATTTTCGGATGTCACATTCCTCAAAGTGGCGTTCTTCGGGGCTGGGTCTGGCTTAATGAGGATAGTGCTCATGACGGTCCCCGCCGGCCTGAACACGCCTGACTCGGACCCTGGGGCCGCTAGACCCCATGAGCATTCCGCCTAATATGGGTAGCTAACAGCCAGCCTCCCTGTCATAATCGTGGCGGGGCTTTCCTTTACACGCTGATCCGCGCTCTGCTTTGCTGCAATTCACGTCTGTTTGTGACGCGCTAAGCATCTGGTGATGCCGAGGTGTCACCCTCCGCCTCCGTAGAGAGAGCTTTCACTGCACCGCACAGAGTGTGTTTTATGAGTTCTCTGGGGTGACACACCCGGAGCACTCCCACTGTCACACCAAGGGGGCACTTCCACTGTCACACCCGGAGCACTCCCACTGTCACACCCGCAGCACTCCCACTGTCACACCCACAGAACTTCCACTGTCACACCCGCAGCACTCCCACTGTCACACCCGGAGTACTCCCACTGTCACACCCGCAGCACTCCCACTGTCACACCTGCAGCACTCCCACTGTCACACCCAGAGCACTTCCACTGTCACACCCACAGAACTCCCACTGTCACACCCAGAGCACTCCCACTCTCACACCCGCAGCACTCCCACTGTCACACCCGCAGCACTCCCACTGTCACACCCACAGAACTCCCACTGTCACACCCAGAGCACTTCCACTGTCACACCCGCAGCACTCCCACTGTCACACCCACAGAACTCCCACTGTCACGCCCAGAGCACTTCCACTGTCACACCTGCAGCACTCCCACTGTCACACCCATAGCACTCCCACTGTCATCAGTGACTTTGAGTAAATGTGAACTGTTCGTTGCTCCTGCCTTGGGCTTGGGATTCCCTGAATGGGATTGTGGTCTGGAAACTGGGACGCTGTGTGTTCTATACTCAGCCATGGACTGGCTTGACCTCACTGTCATCCCTGGGTGTTATCCACCCCGCTCTTTCAGCCCCCCTGGGGGGAGGAGCCATGGAGGTTCCCCCAGAGCAGGCTCCTGTTAACTCTGCGTCGCTGGAAGCATGGAGTAGCGCGCCCACTGCCTCCTCTAGCCTTTAGCCCTGGAGGTGCCAGGGAGGGAGGACCGATGCTCAGGGACAGGTTTGTCATTTCTGGGGGGGGGCAACTCACAGTCACTTTGCCTCCAGCCAATTGTTTAAAAAACTAAATAAATAGTTAGTGAGTAGAATCAGAAGCTTGAAGCTAGCTAGCTGGTTCGCAGAACATGCTGCTTCAGCAACTACCAAATAAGGAATGCATTCGTTTCATATGTAATGTAATGACTATTTATGGCCAACAGGGGGCCACATGCAAATGTGTGGTTTGAGTAGTGGTGAACAAAAACAGTGTCGAGCCTCCTCCTTGCTCAGCGCCATTTTGCATTTGGGGTGTTTCTCCTTTCTAAACCCCCTCATGCATCACGGTGTCGCCCCCTTCAGGTCGACAGTGCTGTCCTTGCATGTGGACGTACTGTGTACAAAGTGAAATAACCTACCCTTGACTCCTGTATCTTGGCTTCCGGAACCTTCCGTCTGCCGTGGCTCTTCACTTGCACACATGGCTGTCAGACCTGCGTGTTCCCCTAGGAGAACAGCTATTAACACAAACTTCTGAGTCTCCTGCCTCACCTAGTTGTCTTCACTATGGGACTCTCTCACTTTAATGGGTTCTCATACGTAAAGGAAGGCAGCTCTCCCCGGTATTGTGCCGCATTACTCTGCGATAAATCGATTCCCCCTCCGTCTCTCTCCCTCTCCAGATCTCTTAGCTCCGTTGTTCCTCAGCCAGACCATCTGCAATATTACATCACAGACGTTCAGACAAAATTCATAAAACATTATCAACAAGATCAAAGGTGACAGCCCCCCCCCACCCCCCTTTTGAGCTAATCAGGAGCCGTTTCAAAGGTTCAGGTTCTGCTTTTTTAATCAGCACATTTATTGCACGTTGTGGAACTTTAAATAGGCATCTTGAAGAACTTAACAACATTTGCTCATGTGTACGGATTCGTCACTCTGTCCCCAGCAGTTACGGGACGCCAGAGATGAGATCATTAAACACGCCCAGAGGATTATATCAAGGAATTACCTAAAACTCATCAAATACAAACTGCAAATTCTCTGACTATTTTTAAAATGTTATTATTGTGGTTCCCAGCAGTCACAAGGGAATGTATACATTCTTTTCGTAAATTAGTGACTTTCACCCAAATTCACGTGCACGGCTCAAAAATGTGCATAATTTTTGGGCTGTGATGTCACTGATGTCATTCAGGATTGGATTACCACTATTGCTCAAGGGGCTGGTGACTCACTCTCCATAACCACATCTCAGGTGCACTTCTCACAGCTGGAATTTTAACTTAACATGCAGATTTTCTGGAGAATTCCATGTGTCAGGTTAAAATGCAGAGATATTTCCTAAAGCTGGGTGTCTCACAACCACCCCCATGTAACTTCACTGTTGCTCATCCTTCATTTGTTATTTAAGCCTGTTGTTGGTGATCATATGACAAGCCCCCATGCTGCTAATTTAGGTTGCATTATCTCACATGTGCTTGTGAGAAACATATGTGCGAGGAAGGTGAGATCTCATTCTCCATGTGCGAGGAAGATGAGATCTCACTCTCTATGTGTGAGGAAGGTGAGATCTCACTCTCTATGTGTGAGGAAGGTGAGATCTCACTCTTTCTCCTTTGCTGCCTGCCAACTGAAAGGAATCCATCACCCAGCATGGGAAGAGGGGGGGGCGACATCCCTCAGTTGTCTCGGCTGGGAAAAACACTAGAGTAGCTTCCCTTACACTCTTCTGGACACGTCTCACTCCATCTCACTCCCGACTCTCCCTGGTGAAACATTATCTCTGCAGTGGGAGGGGGGGATTCTAGATCCGCGGCGTGGTCTGGCACACATCAGTGCTCAGTTTACGCTGTTAAAAACGAGAGTTTCCTTCTGTTTTCCATCCCTGCTGCCAGCACCACCGAGGCATGAAGCCGTGTGAGACCGAGAGAGAGCGTATGCTGACTTCTGAGGCGTGACACAGTGGTTTGAGATGGGCACGGCTCTGGCCCCGGGAGTAATGTCTGGGGCCACTCCTGCTTAGGGAGCAATGTTAAACAACCATGTCGGTGCAATGCAGCATGGGGCAGTTTTACGGTTTTAGTGCAGTTTTTAGGCAATAACCCATAACACAGAAGCAGCTTCTGCCCTAACTCTCACCTACAGCATACCCACCCAGATGCCACCTTCCTGGGGGAGGGGCCACCCAGATGCCACCTTCCTGGGGGAGGGGCCACTCATATGCCACCTTCCTGGGGGAGGGGCCACTCATATGCCACCTTCCTGGGGGAGGGGCCACTCATATNCTCATATGCCACCTTCCTGGGGGAGGGGCCACTCATATGCCACCTTCCTGGGGGAGGGGCCACTCATATGCCACCTTCCTGGGGGAGGGGCCACTTAGGCATCACTTTTCTGGGGGAGGGGTCATTCAGATGCCTCCTTCCTGGGGGAGGGGCCACCCAGAATGTCACCTAAAAGAGTGCCTTACAGATAGCTGATGTGAACTATTGCCTGTAAGTTAATCACTCATGTGACTAAAGTGGAGACTAAGGTGGAGACTAAAGTGGAGACTAAAGTGGAGACTAAGGTGGAGACTAAGGTGATCTCTTCTGGTGTAGAGCAGCCGAACCCCATTCTCTGCAGGTCATTCCTGACACTGAACTCCAAACCAAGGCTGCTTCCTCGCCCCCTTAGGATTGTCTGGTTTGAACAGTCCCATCTTCGGTAGCCTCTTTCTCTGTTTTAACTCCTAATTCCAGGTTACCTCCTGCCTTTTAGTCTCACCCCCGGCCTCCAGCACCAAGGTGAGGCACTGTACGGTCCCCATGACAACCGCAGGAGTGCTGGCAGCCCTGTGCAGCCACTTTTTGGGATGCAGTAGGCTGGCAGATGCTTCTCCATCCTTGCATTATAATATGTTCCATCACTAGGGGGCAGGCATGAGTATTTCTTCACCCCTGGAAGGAACCTCAGTAAAGCACCAAGAGCTTCTGGTGCAGTACCAGCACGGGGGCGTCTTCCTGCCCAGGGGAATGTGGATGTGTAAGAGTTTGGTTCCACCACATGGAAAACCTGATCAGCAGCCTTTTCACACCCTGCTGACAGAACAATGGGTGGAGGGAAAAGCTGAAAATTAGTCAAGGGAGTGGGTCTACATTTTCCCAGCTGAGGTGGGGAGGGGGGTCTGGGTCATGAGTCAGGGTCTGGAACCCACTCCGGGAAATTGGTGGGGTGTGACCTCTTGCTGTGTTCCATTTATCTCAGAGGTCGGAACGCAGAGCTGGGAATGATGGCACACATGAGTTAACAGCGTTGCAGTACAGCGAGTCAGAAAGCCATTTAGCAACCCCAGAGACCTGTTTCAGAAAGCAGGATATCTTGCTTAGCCAGATAATTTGCCAGATTTAAGGTATCCCAGTTTAAATGGCCTTTATCTTTGTTCATTACATTTAGCCCAGACTACCTTAAATCCTAACCAAATTAACAAGTCACAAATAACATGTTAAGTGCTAATAAACAGTATAAAACTACAGCTGTAACTTCTGCTGATGAAGGGCACAGCCATCTTGAATTCTGAGGTCGGGTTTACGTAGGTTCCTCTGACTTCACTAGTCAGAATTCTGACTTCAGAGGGCGCTCCAGTTGAAGTTTCCGATTAGAAATTTCCGAGTCACGAGTTCAAATGGAACACAACATCATTGTCTTAACCTAGAAACTGGCCGTTTATCTGGAAGCCAAGGGAGGGTCATCTGGAATCGTGGCTGAACTGAAAGTGCAGATGGAGCCTCAAGCCCAGCGGCAGGTCATCTTTGAAGAAAAAGGGAACATTTGATGGGAATTATAAAGAACAAATGTAGTCGAAACAAGGTTTTCCTCAAACGTGTGATACAAGCAGAATTGCAGCTGCTGCTTCATTTCTCATGAATATGACTTTGTATTGGCTAACCTGGGATACTTTGTATTGGCTAACCTGAGATCATGTGACACCACTTGAATTCCTCACAAATGGCTTTGTATTGGCTAACCTGAGATCATGTGACACCGTTTGAATTCCTTACAAATACCTTGCAGCTTTAATAAGCACATAGTTTCTTTAAAATGGGACCTGAGGCACTGACCCCTGACATACCAAAGCGAACGTGGGCTGGGAGGGACCCTGCTTCCTCTTAACTCCTTGACCCGGCACAGTCCTGGCGACGTGGGGGCCCCAAACCGGCCGAGGAATAGGGAGATAACGGGCAGGAAAGGGACAGGAAGTGACGTCACGTCGCCCCACGCCCTTCTGAAGACGGAGGAGGAAGACAGCAGAAGCCATCTTAGCTCACTGGGGTCTTGCTGGAGGGGGGGGGGGCTCGATGGGCCGTGATTCCTTTCATTCCATCTTTCATCTTGGTGAAGTTAAAATTTCAGGGTGAGGGGTTTCCCCCCTCCTGTTCATCAGGAATGGGCCCTTCCGCAGAGAGCCCCCCCTCACAATGGGCCCCATTTATAACTCTGTCCTCACCTGCTGCTCCCCCCCCCCCACCCAGCCCCTGCTTCCGGAGAAAAAAAGGGAGAGAGTTAGACAGAGGGAGAGAGAGAGAGCCGCAGTGCCAAGTGAGGAGGGGTGCACCATGTGGGGTAAGGATGTGGGATTGGGGGGGGGGGGGGTTCGGCTGTGCATTCACATGGCTATTCAAAAAAAAGTATTTTAACATTACTTGACATTAACGTTTCCCCGTAAATTAAAATTCCACGTTAGCCAAAATTCCTAAATTGGCTGTCCTCCCCCCCACCTCAGTCCATAACATACAGACTTTGGCTGCAAGCCTTTAATGCAGAACACGTGGTTACATGACCGAGGATGGCAGCCTTGCAGGTTCATGCAAATTCCAGGGAATGAAGCAGACTTTTTGCAAATCACCCCAAACTGAAATATGTTTGAATGAACAATAAAATAAGGGTTCACACCCTCATGAATCAGCATTAATAAGAATGAAGTGTTATTCTGAGCCTTCTCATGCAGTGGGCCGTGAGCACGCTTGACCCAAGACCAGTTCATTTGACTGGTGCGATCGCTTCGTACCGTGCAGATTGGATCATGTTCTCATGTTATCGTAATCACCTCTTGTAAGGCGTTCTAAAATTTTTTGAAAGGGTATATCTATCCCAACACCTCTTCCTTATTATTATTAAAAATGCACATGAGAGCTGCACAGATGAATGGAAGAAAATACGAGCACAAAAAAACTGTAAAACATATTTCTTCTGTGATCAATGTTATCATCATTACTCTCCACTGAAAAAAAAATAGTGAAAATATAAGCCCCCCACGACCCTGAATAGGGTAAGCGCTTTCAAAAAATTAATAGATACACTATATTGCCAAAAGTATTGGGACACCCCTCCAAATCATTGGATTCATGTGTTCTAATCACTTCCATGTATAAAATCAAGCACCCAGGCATGCAGACTGCTTCTACAAACGTTTGTGAAAGAATGGGTCACTCTCAGGAGCTCA